TTGTTTGATTGTAGCGAACAGAGAAAGCGACACAAAAAATAATTAATTATTGTCCTCAACATGATGTTCTATACCTTCGTTGGCGAAATCGAATAATTGGAAAGGAATTACTGTACGTACGTACGCACTTTTTGGAGATCGAGATTTTTTCTATGAACCATCTTTCTCAAAACACCGTAGTTCGACTCCGATGATTCATCCCAATCATTCATTCACAAAGTCACAAATTGCTCTGAACGGCTAGTCATACGGTAGTTCGATAGTACTTTTTTTCTGCACGAATTCTCTTTTTTGAAAGGCTTCTTTATTTGCACAGTTAGTACTGAGCAGTGCAGTCGGAGTCAACGTGTTCTCGCAATCTAATCCCGTGWTGTTCGCATGTACTGTTCCGTAACCCTTCTCTWAWTATACTGATAACTTCATTGGTTGTCAGTATTCAGAAAAAGAAAAATATCGAAGCGTGTTGCYTGTATTTTTTGGAAGTGACTATAATAAGGAAATCCCGACTGAGTATGCTCCTGGATTGTGGAAGCATTTCTCAAAAGTTTTTGCAGAATAACTTTCAGCGAAGAATAGCACTCATTCAGCGAAGAGCATTCGATGTACATCAGCCCGATCACATTATGACGACAACAATTATTTCGAAACGATCACGGAAGTACAAAACAATTTTTTTACAAAGCGAGGAAGAAAAAAAAAACAGAGTAGCCATGGACAACAATATTCTCAAAGCAATTTCGGTMTTACAGCAGAAGGCGAAATTTCCAGTTCTCCTCCGCGAGAAAATCGAAGAACTAGCAAAACAGACGCTTGATGCAATATCTATCTTTGAACAGGACTCAACGTCTCCCTCGGACTTTGTCGTTCGAAAAGGAATTGATCTATTGATTCATACTTTCCTCCAGAGCGTCGAAGATATGTTACAGGATATTTTCTATGCTAACGATGGATTGAAAAGGAATCGCGATTCTTATGATGAAGTAGAATTTGCGATTCGTTGTTTCCCCCGAATTCTTTCTGCGAAAGTTCTATGCGGTAGGAGTCTGAATACTCACTGTGCTATCATGTTTCAGGCCCAGCCAGATTTGRACATAGGGACCCGTAACGTAAATTGTATGTCRTTTGTCCCCCTTTTGGCACGAATGGGAATYGAGCTAGGCCAATTTGAAAAAGACCAACGCGGAGGCCTCCTCTTCAAAGATATATGGAGTGGAAACAACGTTTTGCAAATGCTCGCCGCAACAAATCTACGGCATCACAATCTGTGCTATTCGGAACAACATGAAATAATCGACGATCTATATCTTGACGCAATCAAACGACTAAGAGAAATGAACCTTTTCAAAAAAGAAGACTTGCGGGAGTACTTCGTTCTTCATCGTATGTGCGACTACCTAGTACTTCCAAGAAAGAGGTTTCTCTATCTAGTCGATTGGGATCCGACTACACTGTCGCAACCAGATATGCATGGACGTCTACCCCTTCACTATTGGGCAAGTATTTCAAATATTCTTGGCCTTGGCGATTTTAGGACAGTCCTCRAAGCGGGAATRCGTCATCTATCAGTCAAGGAAGGAATCGGCATGCTCTTTTACAAAGACAATACAGGCGTCACGCCATTTCAACTYRCTTKCAAGCCGTCGCTTTTTCACCTCGCTTCTATGGAATGTTGGAAAGTCGAGGACGTAACGAAAGRCATYGAACACTCGGTAGATACGGAGGCATTCCTGTTTGCTTGTCTCAACGAACAAATCCATGTGGATGGAGTCTATTTCTTRCTCCGTAGACAACCAGAATTACTTCTCGCACTCTCCAATCAGACGCRAAGAAGGTCGGCTGCAACGATAGAAGCAATTGTGCCCGGAAAGAAAACTTCAGTAACAAGAAGGATGAAAGAAGACCAAGAAACCCCTCAAACGAAACCCAWTCGWYACAGGGATCCCGATGAATACAAGAAGCGAAAAAGAACCGACTCCTCCAYYAATCATCATCCGAGAAGTCGTCGCTTTTGTTCTGCGGAAGGCTCTCTGTCAACGGAGTGCCTTCATGTATCATCCCTCCGTAACACAAGCGCAACCATGGAAAAATACTAGCTGTCCATACGATTGCAGGGTGACCTATAACAACAAACTTGAGGCAAAAGAGTTTTTGTAGGTTCTTGACGAGGGAGCAATTCGTAGCCACCGCCTGTTACAAAGAAGCTGCTTATGTTTATATGAGGGACAAATGTTTTCATTTTTTATTAATATTGTATTTAGTATCTTTTGTAAACATAAATTATTAGTAGTAAAATTGAACTTTCACAAACTACAGAACTGCCGTACTGGTACTCGTACTCGTAATTTTTGAGTACCCGTACTGGTACGCGTAGTACTAGTACGAACCATGCTTGTTCCCGAAACCAGTACTTGTATCGTACCGTACGGTACGGTACTCAACGTGATGTACGGTTCTCGTACTATTTGTATCGTACGACTTCGTTGTGAACGATTCTTGATTCTTCCTCGATTCGTTCATCAATACTAAAACGTACTTACGGCTCTACAGTACTAATATTTATGGTTACAGTTGTTGGCTCGTGCCTTGAGTGGAAAGAAGAAGAACCCGATGCAACGCGACTAAGCTGAAGCCAATTGAAAACTCCAGTGATTATTCGGAAGGAATAATGAAAACCCGTGCGCTGTCACTGTACGGAGGGAGTGTGTTAAAGAAAACTTCTTCCTAGATGTAACTGGGTACAGTAAGTAACAATACTAAAAAACAAAAATATCACACCATGGCGTGGTATGGTTGTGAGACCTCGATGCTCACGTACTAATGTATTATTTCGCCGTAACCGTTGGAATTCTAAAGATAGGACAGCAGAAAAGACTCAACATTTCTCGGACACTGTAATTAGTCGGAAGTTTACCCGTACGATTCCTCTCGACCAAACAAACCATACTACGGTACGGTAATCTACCGTAGCACGAGTTCGAACTCGTCCGTCCATTGCATTGCATGTAAATACGAGTACGAGTAGTACGAGTACAGCACGCCAACCACCATACGAGATGCGCAATTTCATGCAATGCCGTATGTGGAATTTGTGTTGACGTAAACCCTAAAAATCAAGCCTAATTGAAGGAAACAAAGAGAAAAAAAACATTTCAGGTATTTTGAACTTCGTTTGTGATGGAACGGAAAACGCCAGACTCGTACAGAAAATAACGTACACCGATCGATCTACACAAACATAGTAGAGAAAGAATACGTAAGGTTCAACAAGTCACACAATCAATAGTCAATACACAACGCATTCCCCTTACCATACTCAGGACGAACAGCCTCTACAATTTGTGTACGCTAATACCATATTCTACCTCTCTCGTATTCGGAACTATCCAACAAAGACACAACAATTTATATCATCTCCATTATCGGTTCGGTTCCGCCTTTGCCTTACATGATCAGACCAGTTTCCGGCTACTACAGCAGCAACACTCGTCGTACACCAACGACCACGCAACACCGCAGATATACATTTATAATACGTGATAATAAACAMTAAAAGCAATCGCTATGGGTTGTAGTCAAAGCAGCGATGGGGCGGCCAATTTGTCGCCTTCGTTTTCTATGCCCGTGCCCGAACAAAGTGAGCACTCAACGGCAAACGGCAGCCATCACAACAGCAAGGCGAATGGCACACAATCGGTGTCATTAGGTACGTTCCAACAAAGATAGTCAGTGGRAGTCATCAGCTTWTTCATTCTTTTGGACACAAGACAGAACTAACACGCTTCGCTTTTGGTGGCTCAGGAKCGGCAATCGAACAAACCAAGCAGCCAGAAAAAGCCGTCGTTTCAAAWTCCAACGAAGCGTCGGTGAACCTTGCCCACGGGGGAGCGGGAAAKYCCCAAGTTGTCAGAAACGGGCAGAACGGCAACAGCAGTATCCGAGTTGGGGCTGCACCGATTCCGGCAATGACCATCAGCAACGGTGGACTCGTGGGGGGGGCMACCGCGGCACTGGCGTCCGTCACGGCTTCCTCCGCGTCGGCAAGTTCTGGGACTTCCGGTTCCTTCGCCGTGCCAACTGCGGAAGGGGCCACCGCGGCTCTTGCAGCAGCATCCGCGGGCACGGATGACATTTCGTCCATCGGATCCATGACGGCGGGTTCGCTGGGGGAAAACAAATCGAACGACGGAGTCAACGGCAACGCCAACAACAACGGAGCGCTCGATCGCAGCCACCGCAGCAGCAGTGGGTTGCACCGWAGCCGCATCTCCCTTGGAAACTCCTCTAGTGTAATTGGATTGGATTCTATGATCGAGAGCCGGCGAGAGGAGGGCGGTTTGACGGCWAACGTGGTGCATATGGAGGTTCCCTTTGGAAAGCCCATCGAGGAGGTCTACGATGGGGTTCAGACTGGTCCTGTCCTTGGRTCAGGAATTTCGGGTGTCGTCCGCTTGGTCACACACAAGGCCACCGGGGTCAAGTACGCTGTGAAATGCCTAGATCTGGGGCTGGTCGACACAGAAGAAGGACTCATGCAGCTCCGGGAAGAGATCTATATCATGTGCCAGCTGGACCACCCTAACATTGTGCGCTTGGAAGAAGTGTACGAGAGCCACTCTGAGATTTACCTAGTGCAAGAATTGTGTTTGGGTGGCGAGTTGTTTGATCGTTTGGACGAGCAACCGGACTATCACTACACCGAGGCCGAGTGTGCCAAGTTGATCAAGCAAATGCTTTGTGCCGTTCGATACCTTCACAGCAAGGGAATCATTCATCGCGATTTGAAGTTAGAAAACTTTTTGTTTTCCAGCAGCGCACCAGACTCCGAGCTCAAAATGATTGATTTTGGACTGAGCAAACATTTTCAATATGGGGAAATCCAGCAACAGGCGGTCGGAACGCCCTACACTGTCGCTCCAGAGGTGATTCGGGGCCGGTACGACGAACGATGCGACATTTGGGCCATTGGGGTCATCGCCTTTCTTTTGCTAAGCGGAGAACCACCGTTTGGTGGATGTGGGGGACCCGAGCCTCTCATGACAGTCCGCGCCAACATTCTTAATGGAGCCTACGAGTTTGAACCCTTCGAGATCTGGGATCTGGTCAGCGATAGTGCAAAGGATTTCATCAAGGCCCTTTTGGTTACCGATCCAAAATTTCGACCAACGGCTAGCAATGCACAAAAGCAACCATGGCTGACAGAATGGGCCCACAAGACCAAGACCGACAACGATCACATTTTGAACCCRAACGTTGTTCGGGCCCTGGTTAACTTCAAGGAATTTTCGGACATGAGAAAGCTTTTATGCGAGGTCCTTAGTTTTACGCTCTTACCTGAACAGATCAAGGACCTGCGCAAGGAATTTGAAACCCTGGACACGGAAGGATCCGGGGAGATTTCGTTGTTGTCGCTCAAGCAGGTGCTCGTCACGAACGCCGGGGCTGGTTCCCTCGGTGCGCTGACGGAAGAGGAAGTGGAGGACATTTTCAACGCAATGCGGGTCAAAAAGACTGAGACGACTATTCGGTGGCACGAATTCATTGCCGCGGGTTTGTCGCAATGCGAGGTAGACGATCGAAACCTTCGTCTTGCATTCGATCGTTTGGACAATGACCACAAGGGTGTAAGTGTATGGGAAAACCGCTACGACATAGCACGGGTTCTCCCAAACTCGTACGTTTTACACTCGATGATGCGTCCTCGTATAACCAAACCTCTGACCGAGATTTTGTTTGTCCTTCTTTTTTAGTATGTAACACTCGATGATATCATGGATCTCATGGGGAGCGATGCCGTCCAAGGAGAAGAAGCTYTGAGAAAAATGTGGGGAGATAGCATGAAAGATTGTAACTGCAGTCTTGCTAGAATCACCTACGAAGACTTTGTTCTGATTATGAAGGGTCAGACACGAGAGTTTGAAGATGGCGAAGGGGTTGCTCGCAGTGATTCTGGGCAACGGTTGAAYGGTGCACTCATGCATGCTGTCAATGAAGTAGATGAGGCGGAAACTACTTTGAGATCTTCGCTTTCCAAATCAAACTCCAACAGAAAATCCCTTAGTATGGAAGAAAATGAAACTGATCAAGCAGGAGAAACCGTAATGGCGTCAACGCCTCAGCTGATGAAAYCCTTGACCGGATTCCTGAACCCTAGTGCGCCTGATGGTGAATACCAAGAGTCCCCTTTCTCTATGGACGATGATGACGACGTTGCGATGCCGGCGGCGTTTCCAGTTATCCCGACTTTCTCTCCTCCGTCTACKCCGAAAAGGGGGCCGTCTTCTCCTCGTACTGAACCAAAGATAAGGCCGTTATCTGTTATGGATGAAGTAATGGCGCAGACGATAAACAGCGATCCGGAAACAAACATCCACCCGCTTATTCCGAATCCTAAGCCCAACATCATCCATGTGAGGGTAAAATCGCGATCCTTTGACGAACGAGAAATGAAGAAGTCATTTTGCGATGTAGATTCTCGCCGTGCTGTGGCTCTACCTGAACACGATCCAGATATGAGAAAGTCGCTGATTATGAATGACAAACAAATGAGTGCTCTTCAGGTGAACCGCCAGTTGTATCGATCGCACCGCCAAATGCGCTTGTCGGTCATTGATGCGTGTAAGCGATTCGAAGATCACCAAGCGAGGCATGCCCATGGTGTTCTTCTAGCGGAAAAGAACATGGCAAGCATGGGAGCTACTGCCGGTTTGGTAATGCGCCGAGTGGACAACAAGACCGTTTCTTCCGAAGAGATCAAACAACGTTTGGAGCAGAACCGAAGACAACAACAGAAACTGATGGACAAAGCCAACCGTAGGAGTGGCGGAAGGCGTTCTTCGCGCAGGAAAAAGACGGTTTCCGATCTGAGCACTATGATGGGTTCCCTGTCCTCCGAGGAAATGACCAAAATAAGCATACAGGCACATGATACACCAAGGACGCCTCTGACTGCCAATGCACCGAACCGTGTCGAAAATACGACGAWGTACAATTCGACGATAATCCCYACGGTCATTGAAACCAAGCCACTGGAAAACACAAGTGATGATACTAATTTTAGACCTGCTACTGTTCCTGGTGAATTCCGACGGGTGAATGATCCGTTTGGGTCACATGGCAAATATGCGTCAATGATGACATCAAAATGAATCGAATCGTTACCGACCATAACATAAGAATCTGGACGGAACAGGAAACGAAAACATAAAACTGCTTGTTGCAAACATCAGCATGTCAATTGAGAAATAACAACCGCTTAATGCTACTGTTTATCAATTTTTAGAGCTAAGATCCCTCCTTGTGTATCTTACCTGTAGGTCATCATTCACAAAACTCTACATGTGTTTTCCTCGGGAATCTCTGGTTTTCTCGTGATTTCTCGCAATCTTGAGGAATCCTTTGTGTAAATCCAAGTTCCCGGACATTGATATCAAGTCGAGTAATCAGCGTACACTTGAAAGAGAGATAATGTAACATAGATTTTATTTTCAAATACATGAATTTTTTTCTTTCCTAGAAGGTGGCTAAACATCTTGCAAGAAAATGTTGAAAAACAATCGTGTAGATTCCGACAATAAGCTCAGATTTTCGAGCTTGGAGGGTAAAGATCGGCCAAACAGAGAGCATAATTCATGGTAAAACCTACAATGTGCACTTTTGCTTGATTTGGGTGTAGAGATTCATCATACAATTCAATCACGTGAAACTTTCATCGAAGATCCCTTCTCAAATACAGAAAATTTTAGGCAGTTCTGCGAGTACCGTGCATTGATGGGTCTAACTTGGGAAGCGATTTTTGAAGCCCGAGTTCATGGCGCTGAAAATACTAACCCAAACATTTTGTGATCACGACGAAGCTCGGACTCTGTTGTCCGCTACCTCAATGATCTTATCCAATTCACTTCGAAGGCGTCGTAAATTACAGGCATGATTGTTTCGTACCTCACCATAAACTGATAGCTGCTCCTCGCTGGACCTTTGGAGATCCTCCAAAAGATCAACGTATGCTGTGAATGCATTGTTTACTGCTCCCTCCGCGCATTTTGTTTCTTCTCTGTATTGTTTGTCGTCYGCCTCAAAGAGAGTTTCTCGAAGGTCGCTCAAACAGAGCTCGGCTTCATGAAATACTSTCTGTTATTCACCCAGATTGAAAGTGGTTGAAAAAATTTAGATTACGGGGTGAGAACAAATGTTTGTGGGTGGAAAAATTATCACTTGTCCTGTTCTGTATTTTATACAACAATCGTACCTTATAGTGTTCGAGCCGAATTTCCAAATCTTCGTTTGAAATCGGTTTCACTTCTTCTTGACTATCATCTGATAACAATTTTTTGATGTTTGCTTCGACGAGTTTCTCGTAGTTGTCACTATCAGTGACTACAGCTGCGGTAGTGGAGGARCTTTCTGCTACTTTCTYGGCGGGCGTTCCGAAGAACCGTATTATTGTTGCCGCCGAAGAAGGATGTGCCGATTTTGTGATCTTTGACGCAGCCATTCTCGTCGCTCTTTCGATAGCCGCTCCATGTCGAAGAGACTGCTGTGCTACAATAACTCGCCGCAATAGACACGCTGCTGTTGCTGAATTCATTTTTTCTCAATCGAATTATGATGAGATAAGATTAAAAAATCGATGATTCTAATCGTGTGAACAAGAGAAATGGCTCTGAACTCGAAAGGCCGTTAAAGTAAATTGTTGTGATCGCGTTGCTATCTTGGTTTGGATTGATGGAATAGCGATTCCCTATTGAATTTGAGATTCGACGCAAGTGGTGGTTGTGGGTTGAGAGGTCTTCCCGCCTGGGAGATGTCGTCAAAATGGACAGACAGAGATGATGTCACGTCAAAATAATTATTGGTAATAAACAATCGTCAAAAACATGCCGAACAACGACATTCGTCAAAAACATGCGGAACAACGACATTCGTCAAAAACATGCCATACAACGACAAGCCATAAGCAACTCAACGAACGCTTTTTCTGGTCCCCCCGGCTTTTGGCGAAGCAAAAAAATGACTGGAGTAACTTCACAGCAGCCCCATCATTTTTCTAGTAACCGACCTGTTGCAATGATTGCGTTGAGTAACCGCGCCCTTACTAGTTACCACGTGGTTACCAATCAAAATTGAGTAGTAACTACTAGTAGTCAGTCTTGTTTTTTGCTTGGTAACCAGTTCAAATTAGTACTTAAATTGTAAACAAAAAGTGCGATAATGAAAGTCAGCATCACATGGTAACCTTTAATTAGTTACGAAGTAGTTACTGGGCTCTGTGAGGAGCAGTAACTAGTAAGCTTGACATTGATATATTGGACAGTCAGRTTTGGTGATAAATCCACTGMGAAGTGAAGTTTAGCACTTAAACTTTGTACAAGAAAAAGTGAAGTAAAAGAGGTCACCAATATGTGGTTACCAATTTTTAGGTACTGTGTGGTGCTATAAGGCACTACTATAATAGAGATTGACACTGATATTTTGGACTGTCCATATTGATATTTTTAGTAGTAGTATCACTCACAAAATAAACAATAGGGCCAAGCAAGTGTCATAACAAGAAGCAGACTTACAAGCAAAAGCAACTAGCCAGCATCATGACACACCAAGACCAAGACCAAGACCAAGACCAACAAGACCAACAACAACAACAAGACCAACAAGACCAACAACAACAACAAATACTCTTTGCACCAGATGAAAATGGAAACAACACTGCACAACAAGCACAACCACTGAGATTATCATTACAACCAGGCAATATCGCTGGAGAAAACCCTCCTCCTGGTCCTTCTCCTCCCCAAGCAATATTCAATCCGTATCAACAAARACGAAACACAACAAACAACAAGAATCCCCCTCAACCAACTGCTATTGAAGGGGTCAATAGTAATTGTCAAACTCCTGCTCATCCTCCTCTTGAAGAGCATCAGGAAGTGGGCTACTCTGGCTTGACAACAAGAGCAAGAGCCAAGAAGCAGACTGCTGTTGAATATGCGAAGAAACTCTACAACAACCCAAATCATGCCAACACATTTGGMAAGTAAAAGAAGCAACGTCCACTACAGATCAATATTCAAAGAAGRTAATAAATGTCCACAGATGCTTTGAAGAAATTGTCCATGACGCTGCTGCTCCTAAAGGCAACGACAATCCAGGGGATCTGCAGCTGTACAAGTTCTTCACCAACAACAAGGTTGATCTACCAGRTGGTTTGYCCCATGATTATGAGTTCTAGTATGCTGTAATAGGAGGAGAGCCTGAAGAAGCCTACAAAAAGCAGATTGCAAATCAAGCTGTGTATCTGGATGCTTAACATCAAGAACATGAGATGGTGTGGATAACAAGACAAGCCCCTGGACACAACAACCCATGCTACCTCCTATATCAAGTACTATGTTTTCCCTGCACTTAGTTCAAGAGGTGTGAAATATAAAAGCAGTGACTTCAACAGAAAGGGGGAGTTCATGGTGGGAGTAGTGAAAAAAGATTGGAATCGTAAAAGACAGCAAGACCCAACGATTYGAACCAAAAGGAATAAAGCCAAGTTTGATGAGCACAGGCATGCCAATTATCTTGCCAAGCTTACAGATCGGACCTACARGCCTTAGGAAGACTATAATGACTTGCAATAGATTATTGCAATGGAACTCAAAGACACTTTKGTCTAAGAGGGAAGAATGAACTCGTGAAGCTCCTGTGGAAGGGTGTAGAGCTTGGTAAGTATGATGACTACGGTGCTATGAATGGTCTGCAACATGTAACTATTGTTCCTTRCGGAGGGGATGACAAGTCAACCATCCAACAGTAAAGAACAAAAAGAAGCAGCTCCAGGCTAACAGAGATGCTGTTTGTGAAAGCGATAGGATTATTCAGAGCCTCACAAGGCAAATCAAATCTTTGAAGGCGACACTTCATAAGCATGACCAGTTCTTCAAAGAAGCTGTTGAAAAGACCACAACTCAGACAACCGGCATCGTACTAGTTGCAGACACTATCCAACAGAGTTTTGAATCAATCAACCAATTGGTTTGGAGGGAAAGAAAAGTAAGGAGGAAGATTACCACTAGTGGAGCACAATGAAATGGACTCAAGATAGGAAAATACAATACAGCATCACCGGTGGCACTTCCTCCAACAGAGGGAATTAGCACAATTGTGGATACAACAATCCGACGATTTATTTATTATTCTGAAATTATAAATAATCAAGATTTCAGTCGGTCTTTGGCCAGTACACAAATATCAACGCTTTACTATAAGTTTATTCCTGAGATGCCCCTATTATCTTCCTTTAAACTTCGACTTGTTGTGCAGCGGTTTGCTCCACCGCTGGYGGATTCTCTGCAGCTGCCTCCATTGGTTCTGCTGATTCGTGGTCCAGCTTCATCTTTTTCTTCGRTGGTTCAAACTCAACGGTCTCTTCTACYGGAGTTTCCACTTCTGGTACAGCAGGCTCCTCGGAGTCKATAGCCTTCAACTCTTCGTTGTGAGTATCGATTTGTCCCCGGACTTCGGCGATCTTCTCTTCGAGTTGCTTGATCTGTGATTCGACTTCGGTCTTATTTTCTTCGTGCGTAGACATGATCTTTTTCAGCGCCTCCTCAGCTGAGGGATTTTCGGCAATCTTCATCTGGACAGTGAGGATGCGGTTTTGGATTTCGCTGTGGGTACTTTGCTTGATCGAAATCTCTTGGTTATATCCCATGATGCTTTGTGTCAGAACAGTGATCTTGTTCAAAATACTTTGCTGTTGGTTTTGCTTCTTTACGGCCCCGAGAATAGCGTCTTGTTTGGCGAGTACCTGCATCAGAGGACCACCCGTTAAACCTCCTTCGAGTGCCGAGGACAGATCGGTGGACAGCATCATGCTCGCACTGCGTTTCACACYGTGCTGCGTCAATGTGGGRTCCTTCATGACGGCTTCGGTCAGAGCCTTCGTGCATTGCTTGATAGAAGTATTGAGAAATTTCATGTCGCGTTCATCTGGCTTAAGCGGACGTTCGGCAAGCCATTGCTTGAGTGCGTGGACCTTCCACTGCGCAGGTTGGGGCAGAGTGACGATGCCCCTCATGTTTTCAAGTGGATTCTTCAACTCCAGGTCTTGAAGGTAGTAATTCTTCTGTTCTTCCATGTTCATGAAGTAGTTGGCTCTGCGCTTGATTTCGTAACGAAAGTCTTCTGCACGGGGCATGAACTCTTCCGTGACCTCCTTTCGCTTCACGAGATTCTGAGTCACCTTTTCGATCATCGACTGGAGTTCTGGGATTCCGTGTGCCATTGCGAACAGAATGCGCGGCTGCTTGCCCTTGAGTAAGAAGGTATCTGCCGCAGAAAGCTTGTAATCGGCCGAATCGTGCTCCGTTGMGTAGATAAATCCTTCGGTTTGGATTTCACCGAGGCTGAGCGAGACGTTGGAGGACGAGTGCGGGTTGCTCGCCATGATTGTCTGGGTAATAGGAATAGATACCTTGGCTTCTCCATCCCCAATTCCTCCGGTGATGGCGGGACCGTCGAGCGGTGCATCTGCGGGCGTCGGAAGGACGGGAAACTCCTGGAGAACATCTTGGCCGTTGACGGTGTTCGTGACATCCGATGTGAGGAAGTCCAGGGCTCGCTTAATCTGATAGCGAAGGAATTTGACATCGTTATCGTTCGGGTTCAGAGGGCGCTCTGTCAACCATTTCTTGAGCTGCGTGTTCAACCACTGGTTTGGCTGGGGCAACACAATACTGCTGCGTTTGGTCTTGAGAGGATGGGGTCTCTTGAGCTGATCSGTGTAGTAGTTGGATTCCTCGACATCGTTCATGAAGTAGTGTGCTCTTCTCTTGATTTCGTTCTTGTAGTCTTCGGCCTTGGGGATGTACTGGTCGTTCAGCTCCTTTCTCTTGATGGTCGAAATAGGAGGGCGATCAAGTATGCCGTCAAACTCGGGGAATCCAAGGGCCATGGCAAAGAGAACCTTRGGCTTCTTTTTCAAYTCGTAGTTCGATGCGAAAGATCGTTTAAACTCCTCWGAGTCATATGAACTCGCATAGGCCATGGGATCACCRGTGSCTTCATTGGCCTTCACTGGTACTTCAATCTTTTCTCCCTCTGTTGTCATTTTTTCAACTGATGGTAATGTTGATGGGCTGTTTAGAGTGTCTTAAGAGTTTCCTGGTTTCCTGTGCCAATTAGAGTAGTTCKGTGGTTCGCGAAATAGCATMTATTTGGTGTAAGACCACAACTTGRCTGACTTCGTGGATAGGTCTGATATCTCAGGTTTAWTTCGTCCGAAGATATTCATACCATGGTAAAATTCACATCGGATACAACGGTGCACCCGTATGATCATCAACAATGCTTCGTACTTACCTCCAATATGCGATATTATGATATGAAATAGTGGTGGGATGTGTACGAAGAGATGCGAAGTTTTCGGTCAGTTTTGTTGTTTGCTGGAGRCAAGCTGTAAATACTGTGATGTGGTATGACGGTAYGAGTATGTTGTACGCTATATCATCGTGATGAATGAAATGTATGGTGCAAACTGGTGCAAATGAACAATATCAATTTTCTGATGCCATAGTACGTACGAGATACTACGTACGTCTAGTACGTAGTCATGACGCAGATATTATTACTGTATTAGTAATTAGTACTGTACTGTACTGTACTGTACTTTTCTTTCTACCGTACTTACGTACCGTACAGTAGAAGCATCATACTTACTAGAGCAACGCATTTCTGCAACGACTTCAAAATGCTTTTTTCTACAAAGGCAACGCATTTCTACGATGACTTAAATGCATCTTCGTACTAAATCCAGGTACTCCCACGATTACTTCAACGCGCGAGATTCGCTCAAGATGTGATCGTCGCGCGCCAGCCGCATCAATCAAAAAATATATTGGTCATGAATAAATATATATGGAGGCCGTTATCTCACTCGGTTTGAATTGTTCGAGARTGAACAAACGAAGAACTCGAAMCAGTCCTTTTCGTCTATCAATCATGGCTTTAGCCTACTTCAGAATATGGATTCTATTGCAACCCTCTTAGTGTTTCTAATCCTTCCTGAACTCCGTCGATTCGAAAATCTGTGTTAAAAGGGAGTTGACGTCGGAAATAACAGTTAAACGATGTCATCTCGCCGAAGTCGAATGTCCCTGGGAGGCGGTGCTCTGCGCCGAGCTGGAAGCCCCCTTACCGATAGTTCATCGCGGTTCAATTCACGGCCCACCAATACAAGCGACGACGAGTATGGTGCCACTCCACGCAAATCCCCGGTTTCGTCCTACACCTCAACGCGGCAGCGCTCGTCTTCGGTGCCTCGAAGACAATCGTTTGGAGGAGATGGCCTGTTATCTCGAAACAAATATGTAACCAGTAGTAGCGCTGCCAGCGGAACACCAATCCGGGATCGGAGAGCGATGCTGGAGCAATGGAGACAATCGCGTGCTGCTGAGGCCAGTAATGGAGGAGYCCGTACTCACACCGACGATGGCTCTTCAGTGGATACCCGAAAACGTTACAGGGGTGACCCCCCATTGCCTCCTTCATCGAAGCAACACAGATCAATGGCGTCGACAACTCACAGTCACTATGGCTATTCACAAGAAACCAACTATTATTCGAATGGGGGTACTATTGAGTGCTATGATGATGATATGGATAACAGAACAACCGGATATGGAGCCACTACAAGTGTTTTGTCTGGTCGAACACCATCATCCAGTCGACGCACCACTATGGGTTCTGCTCTTCGAAAGACTCCATTACTAGGCAGGAGTGTAGTTCAAAGCAACCGCGAAGGTAAGAAATGRATRGATTTCATTTCTCWTTACCGTTTTCGATTTGTTTCATTAGTARYCGTCTCGTGCTCACACGTTGTTCATTGAATATTACGATTGTTTAGAGATGAGTCAACCTGAGCCATTGAGCCAGTTGACTCAAGATTATGAACCAGACCAGTCTTCGATGAAGTATGATACTATAGACTCTGTTGAGGGGGCAGGTATAGCATCCCAGATGGAAAGGATGAAGCAACGCGTAGAACAATTGGAGAAAGAAAAGATGGAGCTATCTATGTCAAAGGCACCTCTCGAGGCAAGGTTTCGTCAAAAAGAAGATCTGTGGCAAAAAGATAGGACAAG